GGCTGACCTGAGCCCAGCGCGGGGCGGGCCCTGGGGCGGGGGCCGGGCGGGGGCCAGGGACGTGGCCTCCTCCCAGCGGCTGCGTGGCTCCCAGGGGAGGATCTGCCCATGGGGCCTTCGGGTTTTTCGGAGGCTGTGCTTGTGCCGTGTGCGTCCGGGGCACTGATGGACCAGTCACGCAGGAGGCAGGCCCCCTGCCCAAACCTCCTGGCACTGGCTGTGCTGACAGGGCTGCTCCGTGGGGCGGGAAGGGAGCAGGTGGGGACCCCTCTGGCCTCCAGGCCTCCTGGTCAAGGCCGTGGGGGTGGCTGCAGTGAAGGTTCCCTGAGCCACTCCGAGAGGCACTGCACCGCTCCCCGAGGCCCCTGGGCCCAGGCATCGAGGGGCATCTGCTGGGCTTCCCTGCCCTGCAAGCGCGTCCCCACCCAGCAGGGGTGGTCGTCCTGCCTGGAGCTTCGCGACGCCCCTGCTCTGAGGGACAGAAGCCCGGCCGGCTACAGACTGAACTTGGATTGGGAACAGAAGTGAGGGATTTAGCTCATTAGGGCTGAGTTCCTGTTTTTCTCCTCCGTTGAAATAAAATCTTTTTAAGTTAAAAAAAGGAAGGCATCTTAAAGCTGGGACTAAGCATATTTCTCAGAGTTCCCAGGAACTAAGTTAAGGTCCAAGTTCTGCGTGCTGAGGACGCTGTTCCCCAGACACTGTTCCCTGCAGGCCTCCTCCTGGGCCACCACGGCCTGAGATGGGCTCGCGCCAGAGCAAGAGCCAGTGAGCGGTCCCATAGTAAGTGAGCTGGGGGTGAAGCGGTCTGCGCGCGCCCGGACATGGGGTGTGGGGAGGCCAGGACCTTCCCAGGTGGCTTCAGTGTGGTCTCCCGCTCCTCCCAGGCTGGAGGAGAGCGGGCTGGAGGTGGGAGGCTGCTGGACGGCACAGGGAGCCGTTCTAAGGGAGCACTCACGCAGCTCCTCCTCAGGGCAGCTCAGAAGTGCCAGGGGTGGCAGGCAGCCACGCTCCTCCCCAAGCAGAGCTGGAGCCCTGTGGGCGGGAGCACTGCACCACTGCCCGAGGCTGTCGCCTGGGGGCTGTCGGCCTCAGGGAGGGCCGGGCCTGGGGGGCCGGGGGGAGGGCGCAGGTCAGGGCTCCTGTTCTGGGAAGGCTCCTGGAGATGCAGCCCTGGGAGCCTTGGAGGTGGCCCCACGGCTCTGGCTGCTGGGGTTCCTGTCCTGGTGTCGTCCTGCCCCCAGGTGGGCCGCCTGGTGACTTCCAGCTCCTGACTGGCTGCAGTGGTGTCATGGGTGCTGCGCGGGGTAGAAGGCAGACTCCCCGGTGAGCAGGAGGGAGTATCTGGGGACCCGCAGCCCCAGCGCCCGGGGGACGAAGACCTCCGCTCAGCGTCACCGAGGACGCCCGCGGCTCTGGGCCTGGAGACATCCTTTCAGTGAAGATGGGAGACACCGCCCTGAGTCCTGGGGATGCCCTCCTGCAGCCCGAGACCCCCCCAGGACGCCCGTAATCGCGCCCAGGCCTCACCGCACACACTTCCAGGTATTGAGTGCGGAGCTCGTCTCTGACGGCAGGGAGCTGGTGCACAGGCAATGCGTTGGATGCGTTGGTGAGCCGGCGCTGTAACGTGCCCAGCCGGGCAACGCCCACCCCACGGCTGAGACTGCACACGTTTACCATCAAGGTCTTTGCCCCTGTTCTTTGTCTTAACACAGTTGTCCACGAGTCGGATGGTCACTGTGTATGTGCATCTGAGTGATGGCTCTGTCCTGTTCCTCATGGGGTTGCATGTGTCTGCACATCTCCGTCCATAGCAGCACCATCGTTCCTGGGAGGACACTTTCTCGTGGCTCGCGGGCGACCCTTCACGGTGCTACGGTGCTGTTGGCGCACTTTCAGAACCTGAGTTTTGGGTTTAGTTGTCTATTTCTAAGTAAGAATATTCTAGAAGGAGCTTGTCCTCAGAAGGAGGAGATGGGGGAAGAAGGCGGGTAGTGTGAGAGCGTGGTGTGGCTGAGCATGTCAGCCTTTGCCTTTGGTGATTTGGAGGTGGGGGGCGAACTGCCGACCGCCCCGCGCCATGCTGGTGCCGTAAACACTTCTCTGTGGGCAGCTCACAGCAGTACAGACGTTTAAAGTCGTTCCCTGAGTTACTTACTGCAGGCGGATCAGAGGAAGTTACTCTAGGCGTAAACATGCATTTATGTGTTTGTATAGGTGCACGTGTGTGTCAGTCAGGTAAATGTGTGTGTGCACACAGATGTACGTGGCGGAAAGAGGTCAATGCTTAAAAACGGGTGAAGTGTTAAGAGCTGCATCTGGATAAATTGCACACGGGTGGTTCTGTATTATTCTTATTCTCCAGATTTCTTGTGATTTAATTATTTCCAAGTAAAAGTTTAAAGTTTAAATGCAGGCACTTATATTAATATGCCATGGGTCATTATTGTTTTTAAAGGAATTAAATAGGATTTACAGTTTGCTCGGTTGTGTTGTAAGGAGTGGATGTTAACAGATCCAAGCACCTAAAGGCCCTGTGGGTTCTTGGTGCTTCTAGGTGCTGAGGCCCGTGCCAGGCTCTCCCGGGTGGGTGGTGCCCCACGTTCTCTAGGGCGGGTTATGCCATTAGTGCAGAGCTGCCTGGCAGGCGCCCCTGCTGGTTCTGTGAGCCCGGGAGACAGCCTCTCTGTGCTGGGGGCACCTTGTAAGCGAGGGGTGGGCACGGTCCGGTCCGTCTCGGCCGTGAGGGGAGTCAGTCAGGTGCCCTCGTCTGTAAAGCTCGCGTACTGGCCCCCGCGGGCGCCGTGGTGCGTGGGTGCCCGCTGTGCTCCTGCTTCTCTCTGCCGTTGGCTTTGTGTTTTGGCTGGTGATTTTGTTACAATTATGTGCACATGAACCGCGACAGACACCAAACACAACTGGTGGCGTCAGGTGGTTCGTAAAGCGCAGGTTTGCAGTGTCCCCGCCCCTTCACAGAGGGCTGGGTCAGGGAAGCGCGAAGAGCGGGCAGCGGGGGCTGAGGGAGAGCCCGGCCCCGGGAGGCGGGAGGACAGCTGTGTGCAGAGACGGGCACCGCGACGGGACAGGTGGCAGGGGCCCTCCCCGCCCGCTCCAGGCATCTGGGTTCCAGATGTGCCCTCGCCTCCGGGGTGCCGCTGCTGATTTAAGTTGTTGCAGCAGCACACACTCAGAGAGGAGGCACCGCCGACTGCCGTCCCCTGTTGTCCAGCTTGCAGCCAGTGGGAAGGGGAGGCAGTCAGACTGTGAAAAACCGCGCGTCACGCAGCTCCACGTCCAAGTGATCGTTTTTAAAAAAATATTTTTTTATTGATTTTAGAGAGAGAGAGGAAGGGAGAGGGATAGAGCTAGAAACATCAATGATGAGAGAGAATGAGTCATTAATGGGTTGCCTCCTGCATGCCCCCTACTAGGGATCAAGCCCACAACCCAGGCATGTGCCCTGACTGGGAATCGAACCCTGACCTCCTGGTTCTTAGGTGGATGCTCAACCACTGAGCCACACTGGCCAGGCCAAATGATCTGTTTTAAAAGACATCAAAGATAAGTACATGTGCAGGCTTTCTGTTGTTTGGGCACACTGTCCTTTAATCTTTTTTGCTAAAGTTGTGATTTACTTTTGTGGTTTTCTTACAGATCATCAGAAACTGGAAAGGGAAGCCAGAATCTGCCGTCTTCTCAAACACCCCAACATTGGTAAGGAATGAGCTCAGTGCCTTTATGTTCTAGTTTAAAGTGTTATGGTGGGTATGCTTACTACAATAAAGTGGTTTTTTTAATAATCTAGTATTTGCAACTATTATCAAATAGGCTCCTAACTTTTAGTCTTGGTTACATTTGATTCTTTGAAGCTTTTTAAGTTTTTCCAGAAAAAGCAGTTCTATATATGTTAACATTTAAAACTAACTAAGGTATTAGTTGAAAAGGCCTGTGTGTGCCTCCACGGGTTCTGCGTGGCAGCGGGTGCAGGCGGAGGCGGTTTGCACCGGGCGCTCAGCACCTCCTTGCCCCCCCAGCTCTGTGGGAAGGGAAGTCTGCTCACCGTCCCTGACCCTGTTCCAGAGACGAGTGAAACTAGTGTAGAGTAGCCCCTCTCCTGAGTCTTACAACAGCTCAGGGATGTTCAGAATAAAACACGGGTGAACATAAGGAACAGGAAGAGAAGGACGAACAGCTCCGCTGCCAGCCTCTGCGGCGTGAGGTCTCCTCGGGGAAGGTTCCGGCCCAGCTCTGCAGGGTCACTGTCCGCAGAGCCTTCTGCCGTGGCAGCCAGGGGCTGGGCAGCCGGACTCGCCGTCACCACGGAGGGCCTGGAGTTCCTCCCCAGTGACGGAGAGGCCCTCGCGGTGTCTGTTCTGCCGGGAGGTTCATGACCCCACTTCGTGGGTGTTTCTTAGGTTCTGACGCGAACGAGCAGGCTCTGCAAGGTCACCCTGAAGCATCGACCAGCGAGGGGTCCTGGCTGGGCCTCTGTGCAGGTGCTGCGCCCCTGAGAGTCACACAGGGAACAGCCTGGCTCTTCTCCCTGGAACAGACGATGCGATGGCCAAGAGGCAGGGGCCTCTGGTCCCTGTCTTCCCCTTCCTCGCCTTCCTCCACTGTATCACATGCTCAGCTATCTGCCAGGCTTTAGCATGTCCGGGGAGGTGATGCTGCTTGGACAGTGTTTCCCTGGGAACTTGGTACATTTTATTTTTGTGTGCCTTTCTCTTGGCACGGGGTCCATAATCTAGATTCTAGAACCTGCGGCCAGGAGACAGTTTCTCCCAGAGAAACACATTCAAAGGGGGGCTCTTGGCGGCGGGGGGGGTCGCTGAGCACTGTCTCACCAGGGCTGTGTTGATGTTTGTCTGATGTTCACAGTAATGCACACACTTAGTGGCAAGTGCGGAAGCCATCATGCATGAAGAAACCAGAGGGAACAACCTTAATACTCGTATTCGTTTCTGCCTTTATAGCGCATCTGACGTGTCTGTTAGCTTCCAGATCTCTTGTGAGCATTTTCATAGCCTTTAGTGAACCAGGGAAATGTAATTTTTGTCTCGAACTCAACAAAATGAGCGTGTCACTGTGGTGGTGAAGCAGCGGCCAAGGGAGACAACGTCCCTGCTTTCCCACCCCTCCCCCCGCCCGGGGCATGGCAGGGATCGCTTCCATGAGGACCAGGTGGGCAGTTTGGTGCCGGCAGATGGTGTGGCTGCTGTCAAAGAGGCAGTCCTGCCTGAGCTGAAGCCGAGGTGTCACTCAGTGTCCTGGGCACAGGGGGTGCAGGGGAGCTACCTCAGGCTCAGTGCAACAGAGCCCCCAGGACTGGCAGCCCCCGGGACTGGGAACCCCCCGGGACTGGGAACCTCCTTGGGACATGGCCCCTCCTAGAACTGGGAGCCCCCCTAGAACGGGGAGCCTTGGGGACTGGGGGCCCCGGGGACCGGGGGCAGGGAGCAGCATGGTGTGAGTGGTGGAACGACCACGAGGATATATGGGGGTGGGGGTGGGTCTGACTACACGGGCAGAATGATTTTGTTAGAGGCAGGCCGAGGACTGAGACCCCGCGGGTGGGTGAGGTCACAGGTCCGAGAGGGCACGACCCAGCAGGATTCTTCGCTCGGACTCCATGCAGGGTGGGGACAGGGCCCCGGACACACCCCGGGGAAGGGCTCCGGAGCCTGCGTGCAGGGCTGAGGGATGTGTCTGAGGAGTCACGTCTCCGTGACCTCCAGGTGACAGGAGGGTCAGTCAGGAAGAAGCCAGGAGAGGTTACAGCCGAGGGCTGGGCTTCCCTCCTTTGGGGAGCAAGTGGCCGCGCGACCTTCCCTGGGGAAGGGGGGCTGGGAGGCTGGGTGGGGGCTGTGGAACCAGCTCGTGCTCAGCGGGTGGGAAGCCAGGGCAGGTCTTAGCTCAGCGAGAGGGTGGCCCCGTCTGACGCTGCCCATGGAAGTACTGTGTCCTCGCGACCCAGCGTGCGCACCCCAGGCCCCCTCTGCTCCAGAGATGTCAGCGCTGTGGGCCGGGCTCTCTGTGGTCCTCCCGCAGGGAAGGGCACCGGCTCCCTGTCAGGCTGCAGCGAGCAGGGCCTGCGTCCCGCTGGGGAGCTGGCGGCGGCTCAGCCTCAGCACAAAGGGGCCAACAATTGGAGGGAACTGGACCTCAGGCCTGCTCCTCCGGTTTGCTCCCCTTTTATCATATGTGTCTTCTATTTTCACAAAGTGACTGGTTTTCTCTTAATATTTGTTAAACCAAATTGAGCTACGTCAGCTTGCGCCCGACCTGGGGAAAGTACCTGGAAGGTGACGGTGACGTGTTTGAGGCAGTAGCCACATTGTTTTCACTCGCGTTTCCATTGATTTTGTGCTTGATCTTTGGAAGCATCACTGTTGAGAAATGTATTGAAACCTGTGGTGAAGCCAAATAGCTCAGACGCCGGGAGAAGCCAGGAAGGCAGGCAGAACGGCCGTCTCCCCGCCTGGCGTGAAGGCGTGGGCCCGGGAGGAAGAGGGCACCAGCGGGTCCTGTGCGGAGTGGACACGTGGGCCTGACATGTGAGGACGGATGCGGGCGACCGTGCAGCTGGAGGGAGGAAGGGTTTGCTGCGGGCTGTCCGTTCTCTAGAGGCCTTGATTGACACTGTAGACCAGGGGTCCTCAAACTACGGCCCGTGGGCCACATGCAAATACAAATATTGTATTTGTTCCCGTTTTGTTTTTTTACTTCAAAATAAGATACGTGCAGTGTGGATAGGAATTTGTTCAAAGTTTTTTTTTAAACTATAGTCTGGCCCTCCAACGGTCTGAGGGACAGGGAACTGGCCCCCTGTTTAAAAAGACTGAGGACCCCTGCTGTAGACTTTAGAAAGGCAACACCTCATCTCGAAAGGTTGAGGAAGCATTTACATCTCAGCGTCCACCCAGCTCTGGACCGCAGCCCACTGTTAGGCCCGAGGCCCTTTCGCCCTGTCTGGTCAGTGCGTGCAGTGCGGTGACCTATGGGCCACATCGTCACATCTGACAGTCTCCTTCCTTCCAGCTGGCCCCCCACTACTGCAGACAGGCACGCACCCCTGCGCCTCGTCGGGCAGTTGGAAATGAAGGGAAAGGAGCGCCTGTCTCAGCGGTCCCTGCTGACCGCGCTCCCCGCCGATTGCGCTCCCCTCTGACCTTGCTCCCCGCTGACCACGCTCCCCGCTGACCGCACTCCCGGCCCGTGCTCCCTGCTGACCGCGCTCCCCGCCGATTGCGCTCCCCTCTGACCTTGCTCCCCGCTGACCACGCTCCCCGCTGACCGCGCTCCCGGCCCGTGCTCCCTGCTGACCGCGCTCCCCGCTGACCGTGCTCCCCGCTGACCGCGCTGTCTGAGCTCGAGGCCTCCCACCTGCCCAGGAGCTCCTACTTGCGCTCTTTTCCGCAGACACACATTTACCACTTTCTCCGAGGGTTACCCGGGGATGAGCTCACTCTCCGGGAAGACGTGTGGTGTCAACAGACAGCTGGGGTGAGTCAGGCAGTACTTCGTGGTTCTGAGGACAGATGCCACACAGGAAGCCTGTGGCAGGAGCTCTCTGTACCACACGTGCTGTCTGTGACGTCATGTGTGTGGTACATGATATGTAAATGTGAGGAATAGTACAGTAACAGGTCCTGGAGGTCATCTATGCAAACTTATTTAATTTGTTTTGCTTTAATAATTGAGGAAACTAAAATTTTGAATCCATATGACTTTTCCACAGTCACCATTGGTCGTAACGCGCCAGCCTGGGCTGGGAGACCCTCTAGTGCGCAGGGGGCCAGGGCGCCTGCATGGCAGCCGCGAGGTGCAGGCGTGGCTGTTCCGCTCCCGTCCCAGGAGACCTTGGAGTCTCCCCTCCTCGGGATAGACATCAAGTTAAAGACTTCCAGTTCTAACAAAAAACCCAAGACTTAGTTCTGGAGCGAGCGTCAGAGGTGCCGCGGCCTCGTCCGCCCCCCAGGAGCACGTGCCGCAGAAGGTGCCCTGCAGATGCCCCTGGTCGGACAGTGGAGGGACGCGGCTGCGGGGACTGCCGGCCGGGCTGGAGCCAGAGCCCCGCTCTCTGCACACTCGGTCTGTGCCTGTGAGTGACAGCTCACGCCATCTGCGGTTTATGTAACTTTCATTTCCCAAAACGTCAACCTGAGGAGCCGTGGGAATGACCTTGCGCGGTACTTCCCTGTGAGTGGCGGTTGTGAGAAACCCAGCAGCGTCCCTGGAGCAGTGTGTCCTCTGTGCCCTCCCGCTGCGGTCATGTGACCTCACAGTCTGTAGTCACATGAGAGAGCAGGCAGGCTCACTGCCGCGGCTCCTCGAGGCCCTCGCAGATACGGTAACTTAGCTGCGCAGTGGTAGACGCTCACCTGCCGGCGACTACAGCTCCCCTCCGCCACCTTCTCGTGGTGCCCTGCTGCTGGGACGGCTCGGTGCTCATACACCCTGCGTGCTGCGCAGCTGGTTGTGCTCTTGCAGCAGATCTGGAAACAGCAGGGTTTTCCCAGCAAATACCTGTTTTCAAAAATTCTCACGGTCTGCTCCAGCTTCCTCTTCTTTTGCTCTTTAATACTGGAGGCTCGGTTCACAAGATTCATGCACTCGGGGGAGGGTGTCCCTCAGCCGGCCTGCGCCCTCTCACAGTCCAGGACCCCTCGCTCCTTACTGCCTGCCTGCAGCAGAGGCAGCAGAGGCTCCCGCCCCTTCACTTGCCAGCCATGAGCCCGGCTTGTGGCTGAGCGGCACTCCCCCTGTGGGAGCGCACTTACCACCAGGGGGCAGCTCCTGCGCTGAGCATCTGCCCCCTGGTGGTCAGTGCGCGTCATAGCAACCGGTTATTCCGCTGTTCAGTCAATTTACATATTACACTTTTATTATATAGGAGTATATAGGATAGTGCCAGTGATGTAGTCTTTATAATTTTTGTTTAAAAGTTAAATTCATCCAGCTGGTGTGACTCCGTGGTTGAGCATTGACCTAGGAACCAGGAGGTCATGGTTCGATTCCTGGTTGGGGCACATGCCCAGATTGCGGACTTGATCCCAGGTATGGGGTGTGTAGGAGGCAGCCGATCCATTGTTCTCTCTCATCATTGATGTTTCTCTTTCTCTCTCCCTCTTCCTTCCTCTCTGAGATTAATGTACACACTTGCTGCTCTAAAATAATCCAACCCCTGGCTGTGCCTCACTTCCAAACTGCTGGGCCAGCGTGTGCTGCGCTTTGAGCCGGGGGCCTGCGGCTGTGGTCTCTTCTCCATGTTCTGCTAGGTGGGGCCAATTTCCCAAGTCTCATCTTTGCCCGTCCTCCCCAAACACCCTCGTCCTTGCCCATCCTCCCCGAACACCTGAGACCAGGTCTTTGGGCTCAGGAAGCTGAAGGAGCGTGGCCTCGGGTGAGAGCTGTCTGACTGTGACGGGTGGCAAGGCCGATGAATGTGGGTGTCTAGTCCCTCCCGAGGAACCTCCCGAATGTTGACTCTTGTCGGCCCCTGGTCCTGCCCCTGCCCAGTCCTGAGCTCTGTGGGTCCTGACCTGCCCAGTCCTGAGCCCTGTGGGTCCTGACCCTGCCCAGTCCTGAGCCCTGTGGGTACTGCCCCTGCCCAGTCCTGAGCCCTGTGGGTCCTGCCCCTGCCCAGTCCTGAGCCCTATGGGCGAGCCCCTGAGGTTCCACAGCCTCTGCTCACAGCCCTGCAGGTACCAGAGGAATGTCCCTGGGGAGGCAGGGCCAGCGGGTGGGCAAGAGGGGCAGGCTGGTTCGCCCAGAGCTGCAGCCACGCCGAGTGTCACTCCCACGGCCGTCAGGGTCCCTGGGGAGGCACAGCGCCAACCCCGACCTGCCTCCCCACGCCCCGACCCTGCTGCTCGGGGTTGTGCAGGGCTCCTGTTTCCTGCTCTTCCTGGGCCCACCGTGCTCTGCTGGAGTCTGTGCTCCTGAGCCAGGCAGCTCCGTGACCTGGCCCCTCCCCCAGGCCTGCAGGCCTCCGAGGGCTGGACGCCGGCTGTGTCAGACGCAGACGCACTGCTCTTTGAGGAAGGTGCCCCTCAGTCTCGTGGCTCACTGTTGGACTTGGCTGTTCCTTTCTAACCCTGAGTTCTGTGGCGCAGGTAACTCCGCGTGTGAAGTTAGAGAACGCGGTGCAGACCTGTGCGTGCCTGACTCGCTGCTGCTGCTGCTGCTTAGGGTCCCCTTCTCTGTGACTGTCCTGCAGCCCCGGCCTCGGGTGCACGTCAGCCCTGCGTGCAGGACTCCTGACCTGGCAGGTGCCCCCTGGCCCCCCCGCAGCTGTCATGGCTGTACATTGCCCAGCGCAGGTTCGCCGTCTTAGTGTCTTTCTGCCCATGTTAGAGGCTCCTGACCATGTTTTACTCTTAAAAAGAGCATTCTTCCTACAAAGCACGTGAGAAGGTGTGGAAATAGTTCACACCGTGTGTGAGTCACACGATACTCAAACGGCTGTTCCTGAGCCACATGGTCCCCTCTCAACTGAAGGCCTTCTTAGCTCCTGAATGAGGAACTGAAGAAACAGGCAACGAAAAATAACGGTTCCAATATGTAATATTTTATTAAACTCATCTTCCAGCCCATGTCAGCCACCAGTCCTCCTACTGCCCCGGTGTAGTTGCTCCATGTGCGGGGGCCCGCCGGCTGTGTGGGCCGTGTTCATGGGCTCAGGAGGCAGCTGTGTGGGCCGTGTTCACGGGCTCAGGAGGCAGCTGTGTGGGCCGTGTTCACGGGCTCAGGAGGCAGCTGTGTGGGGCTTGTGCAGGAGGAGGGGACAGTCTCTGGTGCTCACAGCGGCGTGGCCTCGAGGCGGCCTGGTGAGCGTGCAGAGAGGAGGGATACCTGACCTGGGCGTCCTCGCAGCCCCTCGCGTGGACACCGGTGTCAGCCTGGCTGTCCCGCTGTCCCCTCCTGGTGGCATTTGCAGGCGGGAAGAATGTGGGAGTCGGGGAGTGGCCACGCGCCTTGGGGTCCTGTCGTTCTGGCATCTCCCACCATCCCTCCCCTTCCAGAGCCAGGGCTGCAAGGGCTTGTCCCGTGGGGGTCCTGGAGCCCGGGCGGCGACACGCTCATGTGCGGTTTCCTGACCCCGTGCGCAGCCCACGTGCCGCCACCGCTCGCTGTTGGTTTTCTCGCTTTGACGTTTATTAATTTATTAAGTCACACACTCCGGGCGATTCTGATAAGGTTTCCCAGGACGCGGCGCACAGAGGCCTTGTGCTCGGGGTGCTGTTACCAACCTGGGCGAAGCCTTCTGTTCCGCTCGGCCATCACCTGCCTCCTGTCCCCTTTGTCCGGAGCAGGAACGCACCCAGGACAGGAGGAGCCTGAGGCGTGATAACCCGCTGGCCAGGCGTCCACACCCTGCCTGGTATCTCCTCTCCTTCCCAGGAACTCAGGGCACTAACCTCCTGTTTCAGAGTCTGCGTGATAAGCGCTGAGCCCCCCTGTGCCCCCCTGTGCCGCCCTGTGCTCTGTAGGCAGGAAGCTGCTCGGGCGGGGACAGTTTACCGAGGGTGGGGCCGGAGTCAGAGCCTTTGTTTGATTCCAAAGTCCAGGTCTGTCTGCGGGCCCTGTCCCCACTTCCTGCTGGGAGCCGGCTGGCGGGCAGCTGCCCCCCGGGGCAGGGGAGCCCTTGTCCTGCCAGGGCCATGGGTGTTTATCACTCAGTAGAACTCACCTAATGTAACGTGTCGCAGGAAGGAAGCGCCTAGATGTCAGTCCCACCTGCGGTGGCCTTGGCAGGGCCAGACCACAGGGTCCCAGCCCTAGCGCTCCTGCCCACTCGTGTGGCAGTGAGGACGTCCACTCCGAGTCAGCACCCAGCCGCACCGCGGAGCGGGTCAGGGAGAGGCTCGTGCCGCCTGCGGGTGCTCTGCAGATACGGGGCAGAGCCGCCTGTCTCAGGGACCATGTTTGCGGGGGACAGTGTTGCCCCCAAATCATGAAACAAGTCTGTTCAGCACAGTGGGCGGTCCTCTCCACATTGTCAGGGCCGTGAGCCTTTTAGGTGAGCCCGCAAGCGGGGCACGGAGCTCCAAGAAGGGGCAGGGTTCCCAGTCCCCACTCTGCCCTCGGGCTCCCAGTGCCACTGGCTAGTCCAGGACCCGTCCCTCCTGCTGACTCGGTCCCGGGAACCTCCACTCGGCCTCGCCCGATTCTGCAGTGAGAGTGTGAGTCACCTGCCGGCACCGTGACTGGCGCCTGAGTTCCTCCTTTATCAGAGATGCCCTCCCGGGCCCTGCCCTCTAATCTGCCGGCATCGCGGTGAAGCGCATCCCCACCTGTTGCTCTGCACGCACCTTCCCTGCATTCACCACATTTGCTGGGGCAGCCGCTGTGCGCAGCAGTGACGCCCTGATAAGGGGACCTGGCTCTCACCGGGTTCCACCAGCCCCACCCCAACCTGCCCCTCTGCTGTGCTCCCGCCTTGCCTCGCAGCCGGCTGAGCCAGAACCCGGTGTTCCGTCCTTGGTTCCGGACACCTTAGTCACCAGCAGTTCCTCCCTTCAGTGGCCCGAATGGGTTTTCAGTCCCCTCTCTGCCTGGTATCAAGCCAGGCTCCTCGCCTCCCTTCCCTCACTTCCCCGCTCTGCTTCTGAGATGCGGCCTTTAGAGTCGCCATGGGCTGCAGGCTGGCGAGCTGCAGGCTGAATTCTGTGTCCTCACTTGCAGCCTCCTCTCCCCGCTGATGGTGCTCTGCTCCCTGCCACACCCACCCTTCCTCCCAGTGTAGTGTCCCGGCTTCTGTCTTCGCCTGCTGCCTTCCCTTACACTCCTGGGTGGGGAGTGGTCCTTCTCTCACCCTCTCCTGACGACAGCCTCGCCTTCTGTGGCACCTGGGTGTGCTCTGGGGTCTGCATGTGGGGCACGGGGCTTGCCTGTGGGGCTGCTGCTCACTCTGCACAGGGTGCCACGTGACCCCTTTATGTCCCAGACTCCCCCCTATGCCGAGCTCCTCGGCCCTGGGACGGCCCTCGCAGTTTATCCTCAAGACCAGTGCCCAGTGGTCACGGCGTGGAGCACAGGAGGTGGCATGGCAGTCACGCCTGCTCACGCACTGGGCCACGGCCTCCACGGTCCCGGGTGACAGGCGCCCTGCCTGGCCCATCTCCCTGGCGGGCACTCTGTCCCTGAGCCTCTGGAGGCTTCCTGTGGCACCCAGACCAAAACAAAAGTCGCACTGAGCTCCCGGGAGGTTCTGAAACCAAACCCAAGCGAAACCGGGAGGAAGATAAGGGCGCGGGGTGATGACTTGCTCGCGCCTCTAAACACCTCCCTTTTATAGCTCACTCTCGCTCGGCTTCTTTCCCCTGGACGGGTCTGGTTATGTTATTTTGAGAAACAAGGCACAATACTGGGGATCTGCTCCAGTTTGGATATCGGACTGTTTCAAGGTCGCAGGGAACTCATGGCCGAGCTGCACTTCCCCTGGCCTCCGCTGCAGCACGCTCATGCCTTCCCGTTAGCAAAGGCTTGTGAGGCCCTGCCAGGGCGGGCCCTCCAGACACGGCAGCGAACGCCCTCCCCTGGCCTCGTCCTGCCTGCACTCCGGGGTCCCACATGGGAGGGTGCCGCGCCCCTATGGAGGGAGGGCACAGGCCGAGGGGTGGCGGTGTGCCCTGCAGGCCTGGAGCTATGGGTGAGGTCCCAGGAGGTGGGGCTGATGGTGGGAGGGCCTTGCTTCCCGCCTGGGGAGCCGGTGCTGCGTTCATGCTGAAGCCCACTCCCGAGGGTGAGGCCCATGGGGGCCCTGAGGCCTCTCCCTCTGAGGGTGGGTGAGAGGGTGGCCATCTGAGCCAGAAGAGAGCCTCCCCAGAAGCGGGCCCCAGACTGAGGGGCGTGGCTGTGCGAGCCCGAGTCCGTGGCATAAGGTTGTGGTGGCCGCGGACGGACAGGCGAGGGCTGTGGGCCGTCTGGGGGGGCCCAGGGGTCCTGTGCTTTGAGAGGGTCCCTCTGGCCGCTGTGTCACAGGCCTGCTGGGCGGCCGTGGCCTGGTTGGGTGTTTGCAGGCGGAGCCAGTGTACGGCCCTGCTGTCAAGGGCCAGGAGAAGCCCAAGGAGCCGCGAGGATGGAGCTGGCGGGAGACAGGCGTGTGGGCTGGTGTCGTGACGCAAGGCGAGGGTTCCCCCTGAGCACATGGATTGCAAAATGCCAGTCAGACTTCCACGTGGAGAGTTCAGGACGGCAGTCGGACGACGTCTGACGTTTGGTGGCGGTCAGGGCGAGGCCGTGGGAGCTGCCAGCTGCAGCCGGGAGAGGCTCCGCATCTTGAGCAGCCTGTGGGCCGGGCCAGTGGTCAGGACGGCGGGGCGGAGCCCTGTCCCCCTGGGTCCCCGCTGCAGGCACCCCTCCACCGTGGGGTTCTCACTCACACTCAGACCGACGTGAGGGCAGGAAGGAGAAGGCAGAGCAGGGTGCGTTGCTTTCTGTCCTCGCGCCTGAGCCAGGGGCTCAGCACACGCTCTGAAGAGCACCGCCTGCCTCAGAGCCCAGCCCGGCCGCAGCCCACCCGCCTCAGCCACAGCCCACCCGCCTCTGCAGAATAAGTTCCTTTCCCTTACAGGGGTGGGCAAACTTTTTGACTGGAGGGCCACAATGGGTTCTTAAACTGGAGGGCCGGAACAAAAGCATGGATGGAGTGTTTGTGTGAACTAATATAAATTCAAAGTAAACATCCTATCTAATAAAAGACAAAAATGGTAATTGGCGTACCACCGATACCCTTTTCATTGGCTAATCAGCGAGATATGCAAATTAACTGTCAGCCAAGATGGCGGTTAACCGCTAACAAAGATGGCGGCTAATTTGCATACTGAAGGCAGGGTAGGACAGCGCAAGCCGCCAGCGCAAGCTGCCATCCAGGCCCCTGTGTGCCATGGGGCGGGGGCGGGGGGCGGGCTGGGACTAAGGCAAGCGGTGT